AGGCGGGTGCGCGGCGACGGGAAGGTGACCTTGGGCTGCGCGGCCGGCGAGCGGCCGCCGTGTTTGTGGAAGGGTTAAGTATTAATTTGCCTCAGCGCCGATAAAACGGAAGGCAGGCCAAGATGCGGGGAAAACGGCAAAAAAAGGGCTAGCTTGAGCACTTAGGCAATGCCGAGATAAGTATCTGCGAATGCACGTATGTGTCCTTGTGTGTGTATGTGTATGCGTGTATGTGTATATCGTATACTTGCATGTGTGTGTATATGCTCAAACTCCAGTTTGCACGGGGAACTCTGTATGTGAAAATGCTGCGGGGGAGTCTCGTAGCGACGTGTTTGGGGATGAGTGTGAATAAAATAAAACGCCAGGCTAAAAATTCAGGCCTTGCTTTGGCAGATTTTAGCGCACAGGACGGGAGCAGTTGTGTTTCTGAAGGGCTTACAGCATTGGGGCTGCATGATATAGTTGCACTGCGGTAGTGGATTGCAGAGGCAGTGTTGGCCCCTTGCTGGTTTTCGTGATTTTTCATGATTGCTTTTCTAAAGCAAAGTGGTTTAAGGTGCAGACCTTTGCAGATGTGCTGGGTAGTGCTCATTTCTTTTGGTCTTTTTGTTTGGCTGAAGGAGAACTATTTTTTTTATTGTATGGGCTGTAAAACTTAAATTTTAAAATAATTACATAAGTTTGGATGTCTTTACTGCTTTTTAATGGGCAAGGTCACTTCAGCCAGCAGCGTGTTCAGACCCAGCTTGCTTTCGTGCTGTGCATCCTTTCCCCCAAAGAGTTTGGAAACCGGTTTGGCTGCAGTGAGTTGATGAGGGAGGGAATATTGAAGCGAAGTTTTACAAGCAGTAGGTGTCCTTGACAGGGAAATGATGAAAGAGTGAGGTAATGCAATGCAAGAGATTTGTAAACTCTTGGAAGTGGGTGAAATATGTATCCTTTTGGCCAAATCGTTTAGACCTTGTATGGTTTGCACACATGCTCGTGGACAAACACAGGCGTATTTATTTATTTATTTATTTATCTTGCAGGTTCTGGTCTTCGGTTCAAGCCGTGTGTCATGGATGAAACTGCTTTGTCCCTTGGAACCATAGATGTTTCCTACTTGTCCGCCTCCGCGGAGTGCAGCATCAGTAGGTGTAAGCATTCCAGCGAAGAGTTGGTGAGTTTAGGACTTTGAATGCCGCTGAGCATGTTTGTCTTGTTTTTCCTTCAACTTGAAGATGGCCTTTATTTATTTATTTACCTTTTTATTTATTTACTCATTTACTTATTTTTATTGTGAAGGCTTGACTTCTGCAGTGTCCTGGTATGGTGTTATTAATCATTTTATATGGCAGTATGCAAACAGCTCCGTTCTGTGCTAGACTGAATTCAATCAGAAATGCTCTTGTTGTCCTGAAGGATGTGGTTGCTTTAAAAGCTCAGATGAAAAGGAGCACGAAGCTGAAGATGGTCATGTAACCATTGTAGGTGGAGCTCTCCTTGCAGTACAGGAGGCAGAGAAAGTTTTGATGGATGTAAAGAAGAAGCTATTAAAAGTCTACGTCCTCTGTTGAGACTTGGCCTTCCAAGGAGCCAGCGTAGGCAGTGACTAGAAAGGACTGGGAAGAGCTGCGTGGGGACTGGATTGTTCTGGCTGGTTTTGAGGCACAGGTTGGGTGCAGAACTAGACGCTGCTCTGGAGAGGAGGAGTTGAGCTTGTTTGAGAAGAATAGTTGGAGACAGGGTCAGAAATGAGAGAAAGGGCAGATATTTGGGTTGCAGTGTCTCCTGCCGGCCTCAGTGCAGGAGCTGCAGAAACCTGGAGGATTTGTGAAAGAGTGGGATAAAGGCAGGCAAGACAAAAAAAAATGTTGTAAGGAAAGAAGTAGTGAGTGTAGTCAGAACCTGGAGGCAAGCAGGAACACGACTTTACACATGTGGCTAATGGGAAATTGGTATTACTGAAGGGAATGGATCAAACTTAGCACCTTGATGTCTGTTTCAGATGGAAGGCTCTTTAGTCTTGAAATAATTAACAATTCATGCTACTTGCCAAATCTGATACACACACATTTAAGTTCTTAGTCATCTTCTGCACTGCATTTGACTTTATGGTTGTTTTAGAGTGGGTGTGTGTTGATCTAAAGTGCTGGTTCAATCCTATTTCTTCCTTAAGTGTATTATTTTAAATATATTTCAATTTATTTGGTCATCATTTTTCCTCACTGTGTTTTCCCTTCTGTTACAAACTTGGAATGCAGGATTCAGGAAGTCTGAATCCAGTGGACCAGATGATGCATTCTCAGGCTAGCAATAATTCAGTAGGTTTTAGTGGGAGCAATCAGCATTTGTCTGTGTAAAACCAGCAGTTAGAAATATTTTCATTATATCCTAGCAAAAGAGTGTGTTCTGTGAATGCAGTTGCTTTTGGTTTTCAGTTTGATAACCTTTAAAAAGACAGCCTAACATTTCATCGTTTTTTTCATGAAACTGCTGAAACTGAGCTTACTTAGTCAATGGAGTTAGTGGAGCTTTTTTTTTTTAATATTTTGGGAAAACTTCCTTCAGATAACTTGTTTTAACAGTGCATGGCAGATCCATTCAATAACTTTGAAGTCTTTAATTCAAAGTTTTCATAGGCTCAATAAATACTGCGTATGTTTCTGTATGTATATTTACACATTTGTGTATGTAAATTCACGTGGCTGCCTTTTGTTTTGCAGGGAGAGTGTAACTCTAGGCCTACTCTCTTTCGCTCAGCTACTTTAAAATGGAAAGAGACTCTGCTGAGCAGAAAAAGGCCATTTGTGGGACGATGCTGCTACGTGTGCACTCCCCAGAGCCGGGTAAGAAGATTATGGCCTGGATTATGTTTGATGATAATGCGTAGTTACGGTGTAATGAAGTTTCCAAACTTTTACTTTCAGAATTCAGGTCGCAGTGTTCTTGCCTCATAAAGGAATGAGGCTTTTTTTGTCTTTTGTTTGTGGATATATTTCCTTTGTCATGGGATGAACGGATGGGACAGATACAGTGATACTTTGCCTCCTGCTTTTCAGTGTGGATTTACTCTTTGCAGAAGACTCTCAGCTTTTCAGATTTAGTCTGCTCTGCCAGATTAATAACTGGGACACACCTTTAGGACGCTTAATTTTCTATCCACAGAATAAATGCAATTTTGAAAGCAAGTAGTATGTTCTCCTTCAGACTTGAAGAGATGAGAAGACAGCTTGGTTTTCTACACTCAGATGATTCTTGGCTTCTCTGTCCAATCTGGCAACAAGAAGTGCCTGGTTATAATAATGGGAATATTTGTCTGCTGGGCACAGTGTCAAGTTGGTTGTACAAAATGACTTTATAATTTCTTTTTTTTCCCCTGACTTTATTGAACTACATTGGGCAGGCTTTCCATAAGATGCTTGTGTAAAATGCTGATAAATGGCATATTATAGTTTGCAGCCAGATCATTATCTAGTTTGACTATATGTGTAGCAGAGACTTCAGATTCCACTTGGCTGCCCCTTGCACTGAGCTCTGTAATTGGCTGGTGTAAAATGATGATTTTATTGTCTTTTATAACTAGGAACAGTTATTAGTTCACTTTATTCCTATTCCAGAATACAAAACTACAGCAACGGCACACACGTATATGGGATAGAAAGCCAATCATGCTGTGAAGACTGCATGATATGGGCAACAAGGCTGTTGGATAAACTGAGGCTACTTCTCACAGACACTTAAGAGTTCAGACTTGTATAGGAAATCTGCTGTATTAGTAGTTAGGCTGGTTCTCTCAAGTTGGAAATTCAGTGAAAGCTCACTAAGACAGGAGGGGAGAAAGAAGAAAGCAGGTAGTTTTCTGCTTAGTTTTAGTTTTCTGGCAGTTAACTGAGCTAAACTTGCCCGCGGAGGGTCTGACATGTCTCGCCTCAAGAGGCAGAGGCTTTGTGTTAGACCAGAAAGAGTGGGATGTGGTGGTGGGAGCTGGTCTCCTTCCTGCTGGTGGCAGAGAACGGAGCCGTGAGCGCGCTCCGCACAGAACCGCGTCCTCCGCCTGGCACGGGCTCAGGGAAGGGTTAATATGGAAAAGCTGAAGTGTGGCATTACACCTGGGGGATGAACTTCCTATTTAAAGCAAGATTATAGCCAAGGTTAGAGCGCTCGAGTGGACTCAAGACTTCTGTGCTGCTTTCTCAGCTTTGCTGATTTTTTGGGAGGCAAAGAAAGAAGTAATTTCATTTCACTTTGCCTGAATGTACAAACAAACACAAATTTGCCTCAAACACAAACAAATCAGATTCTTATCAGATTGTAAAATCAGTAATGAGGCTGTCCTGCAGATGCCCTGTTAATGGTAACCAGCATGTCTCTAGCTCTACCTGTGCAATAGTTCATCCTCACTGTCCTCTGTGTTTGCTTTCCTTGATGTGCACAATCCCAGAGGTTTCAGCTGTGTTGCCTGTTGGCATAGTACCACTTTTATAATTAAATATTATTTGGGTAGAAAGAGACTAACCTCTTGGTCAAAGTTTTTGCTTGGAATATGGAAGTTTAAAGTTCAGATCTGCTTGCCAAGGAATATTTGTTTATCCAAAGCAAAATGCTTCCAACCTCATCCTGGAGCAGCTGATGATCTGGTCTTTGCCAGGGATCTGAAAGACTGAATTGAGTTTGTTGCCTGCAGAGTGGGAATGTGAAGATCATTTGTCAAGTAATTGTGGATACCCTGACACTTCAGTGGTCAACTGTTCTAGAGTACCTGAGTCTGGCTTAATAAATTTGTATCTCAAATATGACTTCTGTATCATGAAAAGTCCTAGCTTATATTAATTTCGAATATAATGTTATAATAAAACATACTGGTTTGAAGGATACAACTTCAAACTTGGTACAACTTGAAGGATACAATACAGGTCTCTCTCTTGCATACAGTAAAGTCTGGAAAAGGCATTAAAGGTGCTGGAACTGAGAACAGTGACTTTCTGAATTTTATCCTATTTCGGAACAGTTTATACACACTTAAGGGAAGTCTATGACTTATGACTATGTTGTTATGAATGCAGAGATATGACTATTCCTGCACCAGGAAAGCCTGCTGACCTCTCTTTCCTTGATTTTTACAGGATAATTTGTTCAATGCTAGTATTCCTTCTCTGGGCCTACGTAATGTCATATATATCAATGAAACACATACGAGGTAATGTAGTAAGTTTTTCTTTTGCCTGTAAGTTTTCATGTGTTCTGTTTCATGTGTCTCATGACAGGGAAATCTCCTGGATCGTCCAGACTGAGTGCTTATGTTGCTGTCCTGCTATGCAGGAACTGATCCTGGTTTAAGAAAAGTAACATACCTATAAACTCTGTCTGAATATAGTCTGTGCTTGGACAAAGTTCCTTGGGTTTATAAGCAACGAGTGTAAGGGTCAAACTGATTTCACAAAAAAACAGAGCAGCCTTTCCCCAGTAGTGCCCGAAACCATATCCATCCTGTTATAAGGCTGTTTTGTCCCTTTTCTTAAGAATGACTTCAGGCCACATTGTTATTTTCCTGAGCAAGTATGGGACTCAATGTCAGCTTTGATTGTTATCTCTAATAAAAATCTAATCCAAAAGTGATCTGCTCTGTGTCTCCTGTGCCTCAGTGGCAGAGAGCAGCTCCCCAAAGATGGTGCATATGTGGCAAAAACCGTGATGCATCTTCACACAATTTGAAATCTGTTTGCTGGTCTGGGATGAAGACGCTGGAAGCACACAAATCCCTGTCCTTATTTTCTTGCCTGAGAAGCTAATAGTGCTTACTCAGGTTTTTAGGGTAATCGTTAGCATAAGAAGGCTCTGCAGAGTTTGTGGTGGAGTGGGAGCAAACAAAGGGAGGCCCCAGGCTGCAGGAACAGCGCCGGGGCTCAGCCTAAGAAAGGCAGCTTTGTGCCGTGCTGGAGTCGGAGCAAGCTCGTGCCGAGGCTGTTCTGTCTTCAATTCTGATTATTTTTTTTTAAAGAATTGAGCTAGTAGTTCTGGATGCAGAAAAATAACTGAAATACTGATTATTTTTTTTTATTAGTTCTGAAAATTAGTTCTGAAAGTCTTTTGAATACTCAAGGTTTTTAAATTAGAAATGTAAGGGCATCAAAATATGGGTTAATGGAATAACATGCCTTTAGCTCAGAATGTCATTATAGGCAGAAAATTGAGAGTGTTAATGAAGTTCTGGGGTCCAGTGGGGTTACAGAGTGGTTCTTTCTTGGCCTCTGAAAACAAGGGGGATTTTCTTTAGCTGCTAGTAGAGTGCGGGATCTCTATTGAGTGATAATCACAGCTTTTCTGAGCTGTGAATATTTTACTTTTGTGATCAGTTGCAAGTGTCCGATCCAAATAATGTATCTTGACTGGGTCTGTAGTCTGTGTTTTCTTTTGTCTTTACTGGAGGATTAGAAAACATAGATTTTTCTAATCATTTTATATTATGTCCAAGCTGGAAAATGAACACAGAAGCCTTCATGCTCTGACAGATCCTTTTATCAATTGAATGCTATTGTGCTTATATGTTCATAGTTACTAAAATATTTGTCGGAAAGAAGTGTATAAACTTAACTTTTAAGAAAAAACACATAAAGCACTCAAGCTCGGATTGGAAGGGGAAATGGGAAAGTAATTAAGCCAACTTCCCTGACAGTATGGTAGCAAAATTCTTGGTCATAGAAAGGCAGTCTGATTATTTGGATGACTTATGTGCCTGACTGTATTGATTATGCATGTGTACTTAATTACAATGCAAGTGGCCTATGCGTTTAGGTTGATTAGAATTTTATGATAAAAGAGTTTAGTAATCTTTTCTAGTTTGTTTCGATATCTTTATACAAGTGTTAAAATGTGGTAGGGAGCTTCAAAAGTTGCTGCGAGCAATTCAGGCAACAAATTTTCAAATGTGATTAGCTTTGGGACTCCCACGGGGACATCAGCAGTGCATGATTCTCACAGTCCCCAAACCTCCTTTCTCTGGAGATGGTGGGTGCGAGGAGTGGAAGGAGAAGGGAGAAAAAAAAAGAAGATGATGCTCTTAATTTTGCCCCCGCTCATCAGTTTTGATTTACAAGCATATTGCTCCTGATGGCAAGTTCTGGGGCCCTTGCTCTAGATCATGGCATGACTCCCATCTGTGGCAGCTGGTGTCCTCCTGGCCTTGAGAGGGAGGTGGAAAACTGTGAGAAGAGGGGGAACAATTATGAATGTTTGCTAAAAGACTGAGTTTTAGCCCTTCCTCTGTTACATGTATTTTCTTTTGAACAGTTTTCCTAACATCACATCCTCATATTGTGTGGATTTTTTGGTATGTGATTTGTATGATTGCTTATTTAGGAAAGAAAAACAGTAAGTTTAGTGTAGAATGAAAAGGAGAAAGAAAGAGAAGGTTCAGAGTACAGAGAAACAGGGTTAGTTAATTTAAAGGGGAGAGCCTATGGCTGAACAGGGTGGGTAAATTATCTTAAATAAATAGAGAGGAAATTCAGAAAGTTTTAGGCAGATTTCTGAAAAACTTTGCATTTCAATTGTACATTGTTTTGAGGGTCACACTTAAACCTCTTCATATTTTTGTAGGTACAGAGGGTGGCTTGCAAGACGGCTTTGCTATGTCCTTTTTGTGCAAGAGAGAGATGTTCATAAGGGTATGTTTGCCAAGAATCTGACAGAAAATGTGCTGAATAACAGCCGGTAAGATACTGCCAAATAAGCTATTGTTTACCTATGACTGATACGTATAATATGATTTAAAAATTTGGAAACGCTAGATTTTGAAAACCAGACCATTGCTTAGTATTAGAAAACACAGGATCTTCAGGACAGCCCTTTAGCACTGTAACTTGCAATTTCTGCTCAAATAATTAAATGAGGGGAGAGTTGTAATTCTTAATCTGCAAATAAATGATGTATGAGTGGACGGTGGACAGCACAGAGAAAAACAGATTGCCATGTGGAGACTCTTCAAATCTTTATCTAATTTATGTAAGTCGTTGTCATAATAGGGATGCAGCATTTCAGAGAGTCTTAGTTCATCATACATAAAGACTGTGAAGCAAAACTGGAATAAAGCAATAGAATTTCAGTGTCAAATACCACGTATTAAATGGCTTACTGAGCCCAATCAAATATTAAGGTATTTATTCTGCTTGGGCACAAAGAAATTCAACCACATGCTTGCTCCTTGAGTCTGGTTTTGCCAGAGGCCAGTTACTGCCTGCATCAAGCACTCCTGCCTCTTCTGGATTTCCTTTGTATATGGGTATTCTATATGGTCGATTCTGAGGATGTTAATCCCATGCATCTATTTAATTAGATTTGGGAGTTTGGTGGATTAAATTTAATTCCCTTGGATTACACGATATTTTAGTGTGCATGTTTGCTTATGCCTGCAGGTTATTCCTGTAGTAATATGTACTCCTTCACAGCAGAAATTGGTGTATTTAGCTGTGTATTTAGCTGCTGTGTTGCATAACTGTCTCATAAGTTTTACTTCTTAATCCCAGAGTACAGAAGGCCATTTTAGATGAAGCTTCTGAAACAAGTGCTCCGGGGAGTTTTGTTCAGGCAGATCCCAAAGCTATCAACAAAGTGAAGAAAAAAGCTCGGAAAATTCTGCAGGAAATGGTAGCAACTGTGTCACCTACTTTAATCAGGTAATAAAAATGTCTTGTAGGTGTTGTCATTGGGTACAAGGACAGCCAAGCTTTCTCTATATTGACCATAAGGAGAACATCTCCTTTTAATTTTTAATAATGGGAATTATGATAGTTATTGTTCTTCTACAGATGTAGCTTTTTTCTTTTTTTCCTAAGTAATTAACCTGATGATAAAAACAAGAATAAATAAATCTTTTCTTTTTAAGTTAAGCTTCATCCAGTAAGCTACTGGCCCCATACTTCTGTATCTGTTTTTTTAGGCTGATCCTAGTAAGAACGGCTAACTGAAGCATCGTAGACTGTGAAAGATCTTTATTATTTTTTTTTTTTCTGTTGGCCATTGAGTATTGCAATCTGTTGTTATAAACATGTTGAAGAAAGCCTTATCTTGGATATAATTTTCTGTTTCGATGTCTATCTTAACTACTATATGTGACTTGATGTCTGTCATGTGGTTAGTCCCCCCCACTGTTGACTTGTAGTGCTGCAAGCCCTACCTCTTTTTGTGACTACCTTAAATTTGCACACAAGACCTGATACTCATCATCACCTAACAAGTTCATCTGCTAGCTGAGTTAGCATAACAGATCACAGTCTTTGTGAGCTTTCCTCAAATGTTGGAAAGACTTTGCAGTTTGAGCAGCCTTCAAGTTTTGTGTCATAACTGCAGCAGGCCAAGAGCCAAAATGTGGTCACTAATCGTGTCCTAGTTGGTAGGCAGGAACTTGTTGAGCAATTTGATTTTAGACTAATTTGATTTTAGACTAATTAGATTCTATAGTTTTTTTGTTAGTGATATGAAAGCAGTACAAAAGAAAGCATCAATTAATTAAGTTCTTTTATGTTTTTTCTTCCTTCAGGTTGACTGGCTGGATATTGCTAAAATTGTTTAACAGCTTTTTCTGGAATATTCAGATCCACAGAGGTCAAATAGAAATGGTCAAAGCAGCAACAGAGGTAATGACGTTGGGGGACTCTAGTAAGACAGATTTCTGATGTGCTTTCTATTAGTGTTTGTAGCATTTACTTATGAAGAGTTCTGCTACATCTGCATGAAGACCAGATTCTGGACATACCTGTCTCAAATCTGTGAAATACCATTCCTAGTTAACAACCATGCTCTTTTAGTTGTGTAACCTAAAATACCAGGTAAACTTCCAGTTTTGTCTTTGTTTTGGGGTCAAATTTTAACTATAAGGTTCAATGATTATCTTGCCTAACCTGCATCCAGTTCTTTCTCTGTGCTGAGGCAGCCAGTAATAAGTTAGTAGGTCCATTTAGGATTTTCACAATCACTCTTATCTCAATTTGGAATAAAAAAATATTTAAGAAATAAACTTGTTTGCTTACTTTTTAGCAGTCTGCTGCCAATCCTTCAGTATTGAGGATTAATATAGCCCCTAAATTCTACCATCTTCTTTATACCCAAAGGAATTTACCCAGAAATACTTACCTAAACACAGCTTTAATCTTTTGTGCAGGGTTCACCTGAGAGATACATTAGATAAGTATGCCAATAGCAAACAAATAATTGCATTAATACTGTGTATCTACAGCACTAATTAACAAGAAACATTCCTGAGAGCAGATATGTGCAATACTTGATAAAGAGATAGGAGCTAGAAATAAAAAGAAATGTTTCTTAATATTTTCAGTTGCAAAACTTTGAAACCCTACTATTCATAAGTCTCTGCTGATGTATGAGAGAAATAGCAGCTCATGGTTTCACTGCATTCTCATAAACTGTTTGGTGTTTGTCTTAGTAGTGTGAGTTTGAAGAAACTGAGTATCAGTCATTGTTTTCTTGTAACATCTACAGCTAAAATCTACCAGTCAATGAAAATTTAAAAGTAAATTTGACTAAAATGTTCTCACTGTGACAGATGAATGAAAACTAAAAGTAAATAAACTGTAAAATATCATCAGTTCTGATAGTACGATACTAGCCATCTCTGTGATAGAGAAAAAGAGTATTATTCCACAATTCTTATTAATTTTCTCTATCCCCTGCCCCTTTTTTTTTCTTCTCTTCTCTCCATAGATGAATTTGCCTCTTATCTTCTTGCCTGTTCACAAATCTCACATCGACTATCTACTCCTCACGTTCATTCTTTTCTGCCATAACATCAAAGCACCCTATATTGCATCGGGAAACAATCTCAACATACCCATCTTCAGGTAAAGATAATAAACTAAATGGAGCCACGTACTTGAAAAAAATAACTAAATAAAAAAACTGAGAGGTATCTTCGGGTGACCCGTGTTGTTATAACACAGTAGCCAATGGTGTGGTCCATATATAAGATAAGCAGTATATTATAGAGTCATTCCGCAGGATTTATTTGGTTCCTCTTACATAGTTACAGAGGGAGTATAACAAACTCTCTGTCCTAACCTAAACAGTGTAAGGAATGACACTTCATTCTTTAGGAGACTCCAAAGAAATTGGGTAGGTGACTAAGGAAAGATGAGTATGTAGGTAAAAAAATATTGCAAATGGACAATTTTTCTTCTTTATGAAGGGCTAACTTTTTGTAGGCTACCATAGTGAGTAAATAAAGCTTTATGGAGAGATATCCCAATTTGACCAGCGTTTAAGTTATGTTTCTGATGGCTGAAGAATGCAAGAAAGTCTTTTAGCTAATCTTTGCCAGTAAATCAGAATTTGGCCATCGCTGATCTGTGAAGAGCTACTGGGTACTGTGGCAGGCAACAAGGAAAACGGGGGCTATCTGAACAGAAAAACCTGTTCATTAACATGAGTAATTTTTGTGTGGGTCACACCAAGTACGAATAGCGTAATACATTGTGGTTTGAGGGGATTTTAGTAATTCCAAATTTCGGTAATTTCAGTTTCATTAGGAATTTTGTAGTGGCTGTATAGTGTTTTCCTGCAAATTAAAATTAATGCTGATAATTCTTGTTTATGCAGCACATTGATCCGCAAGCTGGGAGGATTTTTCATTCGTCGGAAGTTAGATCAGGGTCGCGATGGCCGGAAGGACTTTCTGTACAGAGCTCTGCTCTACGTGGTACGTGGTTCTTGTCTGCCTTTCCCTAGGTAGAGTTGCAGTTGGCTGGTGACTGATCCCACCTGGCAGGGCATGCTTGTTGACTTGAATTTTCTTGGGGATCATACTGCAAAAGCAGGGTATATTGTTGTGTTGCCTTTTAAATATATGACATAAATGAGAATGTAATAATTTAATGCCCGGCATCCTTGAGGATGAGATTTTCACCTTGAGTAATCCTTATTAAAGTGGAATTAACAGTCTATGAATTAATGCTGAATTTTAGTCTTGCACTTTGCACTTGGGCATATCTACACTGATTATATTAATTTAAGGGATGTCTCTCTGTTTATGATGTGTCCAGGTAATCCTTTGTGCCTGTCAGTACATCTCTTTTTGAAGTGTGGAAGATAGGATGTACTGGGAAACCAGAAGAGAGAAATGCAAATCAGCTATATCAGCTGTTGTTAGAGATGCTTTTTCATGAATAAATGGCATTATACTGCTTCTATATTCATGCAAATTAAATTACAGGTTTTTCTGGTTTTTTGTAAAGCATTGATTATTGGTTTAATTTATTCATTTATATTTATTCCTGTCAGTTCCATTTCAAACATGAATTTGTCAGTATAATGAAATACACTTTTTTTTTCTTTTTTCCGTCTCTTTATATTCAGCACGTAGAAGAATTGTTGAGACAGCAGCAGTTTTTAGAAATATTCTTGGAAGGCACGCGGTCTCGAAGCGGAAAGACATCCGGTGCTAGAGTAGGTCTTCTGTCTGTGGTCGTGGATGCTCTCTTTTCAAATGCTACTCCCGACGTCCTAATTATACCTGTGGGAATCTCCTACGATCGCATCATTGAAGGTCACTATAGTGGTGAGCAGCTGGTAAGAATAATTGAACAACTTGTTTTGCCTAAGAGATTTTCTGCTTGTGTGCAGGGCAACATGTTATATAGTTAATTTCTGTGCTCTGTCCTCTGTCATGGGTACTTCGTGTTAGCATCACAGTGTGCAGAGCTGGGAAACACAGAGCCTCTCAGAGGGAGTGACTAGGTATGGGGAATATATTTCTAAGTACATTCAAGTTATTATGTATGGGAAAAAAGTGGTTCTCTAGGTTTATTTGGAGCTGTAAGGTGTGTCAGACTTGATTGTCAGTCTTCTGTTGTTTGCATTTTAATTAAAAGAAAGACTTTTAATTCTGAATTGAAAAAGAAACAAACAAAAATAACAATAAATGTTTTCCAGGGGAAGCCTAAAAAGAATGAGAGCCTTTGGGGTATAGCTAGAGGAGTCTTCAGAATGCTGCGGAAGAATTATGGGTGCGTCAGAGTAGATTTTGCACAACCATTTTCCTTAAAAGTAAGTTCGAATGATTTCTTTTTATATATTTTAAGACTCTTTTGAAGACTAGATATTCTGAAGTTCCTATAGTGAGACACATTTATTTTGAAATTCTCGTTGTGTGCTATCATTTTATGTTATCTGTGTTATTAGTGTTCTGTGCAGAGGTCTATTTCAGTGGGAAAAGGTATACAAGTTCCTCATTTTGCTGGAGATAGCAGTCTTGGGGCATTTTTGTGATAAACTGAAATAGTCTTAATGTTAATAATAAGGTTTATATTTGTTTGTTTGTTTTTAAATAATGTAAGTATTTTTATTGAGTAGCTTTTGCTGTTTTCCTTAACAAACCATCTTTAAAATGATCCATGTAGCAATTCTTTTATGCTGTGGAGTTGAAGGAAAAGACACTTCAGTTTGAGTAATTGAATGGTTTATACTAGTTGTAGGCAAAGGGCATTTTATTCCACTAAGCAAATTAGTGCTAAGCAAATTAGTGACTGTAAAAGTGTCATGGATACATTATCTGTATGTAAAATCTTTCTCTATGTATGCTCTCAGTGCCATCATTATTAGCTTGCTGCTATTACCTATACTAACTCATCGAATGATGTTCTGTGGGTTCTTGGGGAAGGGGTAGGTAACAGCTGGCTGCCTTCCCTATTAAATTTCCTCTAATCTCTTTGCAGAATCTGCCAGCATTATACCTAATTTATCTGCACGTCACTAATCTGTGTTCTGCTGCTGTATTGACTTTAATTAGATTAACTACTGTAACATCCATCCACTAGAACATTATTCAAATTAATTAGGCATTCTTGTTCTTTCTGGCCTGCTTCTCTCAGAAGAGCAGTAGGTTGGAGAGCTTTGGAGAGTTCAGTTACCACAGCATAAAATTATTGTGACTGTCTGTGCTGCATTATAATTAGTGTAGTTTGGAAAGGTGGCAATTGCCTACCAAATAAGAAGGCTTGGGTCACTTCCAAACTATTCTTGGTGCAGAGTTAGCAATTGGTCTTGGATCAGTATAAGGAAAAGAAGGTTATCTGGCCTCTTAATCTAGTGAAATGCTAATTGCTCCATGCCTTCTTAGCTGCCTCTCTCATGTCTCGCTTGTATGTGTACCCTTTCTTGTACTTCAGAAAGGTGTAAGTATGAGATTAATAATAATTGTTTGAGGATGCTTTGATAGACAATTGCAGAAGTACAGCTATAAATTTAAAATTTATGTAGTTATATTTCTGCAGTTTGGTTTATATACATGTATGTATTTTTTTCATCTGTCTAAAGTAGATGAGCTTTTGGGGTTAATTTTGAGCATTAGCAGCTCTGTGAATACAGAAATAGAGAGAGTTGGCTGTGAAAGTCTTTTAAGCAGCTTTCCGGGAGGGAAATGTATTCCTGATCAGCAGGCTAAGTGGCTCTATGGTTTCCTACATCAGTCTTTATAGGAACTGGGAGAACATAGTGTCCTGAGAACAGAATAATGCAAATGGTAACCTATAAGGAAAGGCATTTACTTGTGAGAAAGAGCTCCAAGCGTGTGGTGTGCTGCCTGCATCCTGGGTGCTTTAAATTAAAGCACTGTGCAGTGTCTTAGAGCCAGAATTTCTGTGGTGTTTATTTATGGAGCTGCTCCCTATCCTGGGGTTTGTGAGGACGGCAGCAACAAGCAGTTGTTATAATTTTATGTTGACCAGAATGGATACTAGGCTTTGCTCTCATTCATGTTAATGAAAGCAGTTCCCATTAATTTTAATCATGGAGAATCCAGTCTCAAGGGAGTTGTTGCCAGCAGGGTACTGACAGGGATAATGTTTTGTTTTGTTGCAGTGTTTTTTCTGAAGTACAGATTCAATGTAGTGGAAATTATCAGTGAATAAACTGCTGCAAATTTTTAATTTCTGCGACCTTTTTTTGCCTTTTGTATTGTGGGTTATTTTTAATTACAGTTGTGTTTTTTTGAATGGTTGCCTTTCTTTCTTTTTTCCCTTTCTTCCTTCTTCTTTTTCTTTATTTTTATAAATAACATTAGCAGTTGAATGTAAAAATAAAGTGAAAAGGTATCAAAATAACAAGTCTTTCTCCTAACAGGAGTATGTAAACAGCCAAAGTCAAAAACCAGTGCCTGCTCCTCTTTCTTTGGAACAAGCTTTGTTACCAGCTATTCTTCCATCAAGGTAGAGCATATGGGGGGACTGGGGAGAGGGAGGACAGGTTGGGTGGCTTTTTTGTTCTTGAGATGATCGTTGCTTAGAAATGCAAAACTGCACTTTAGGGCTAGGGCTGCATTTCTTATACAGATTTACATGTTAGTTGAGCTCTGTTCTTGACTTATACAAGCTTGTGTGGTCCTAGCAAAAACAATATCAATTTGTAAGTTGTAGCTATGTATAGAAGACTTCCTACTATATAGAGTGACAGGGCTGAAAACACCCTCATGGCAGAACTGCAGAATGTGCTTTTGCTGTCCATATTCATCGAAGAGAAAAGATTTGTGGGGTGCAAATGCTATGATGGCCAAGTCATGAATAACCAGAGAAAAAGCATTCTGTATTACTCTTTCTTTTCTGAGGAGTCTTATCTTGGATTATTGTTTAGTATGAAGAAAACACCTGGAAAGTTATGTAGATACTCAAATATTTGTGGACCTTGTTACATGTGACACATTTGTTTTTTTTCGTCCTTAACTAGAATGTGCAGTGTTCTTAATGCTATGTAATTCAGCCAGTGTGTATAAAATAAATCAGGCAAGGTTGTTCTAATTTTGATGAAAACTTCATATTGCAAATTTTTATTCTGTATTCAGACCGAGTGATACTGTGGATGAAGGTACAGAGGCTTCACTGCCTAACACCAGGGATATAACCTGTGAACCCTACAGGAGAGAGTTGATAGCCAACTTGGCTGAGCATATTTTGTTCAGTAAGTTTTACAGTGTCATTATCAGCTCCTTTCCTTTTTATTGCTGATTGCTGCGTGGTAGTGTCATACTTCCTAATTCCCCCTGTTCAGCTGAATATTTCTTGACTTCAGATGCTCCTTTACCTTTCTCCTTCACTTCTCTTTAATATGTAATAAATCATTTCTCTGGTTAA